TTTTATTCCCCATCTTCTCAATGCGCAGTCTGCGCCTTTGAGTGGGGTGGTATTTCTGAAAGGGGAGACTTCTGGTTGCATCTCCCCTTGCAGTTTGTGTTGCCTGCTCATTGTTAAACTAAGTGTGTTAGCTTCGGACTAGTGTGGGTTTGCTTGTACTGGGGCGGCTGGGTTTTTTGGCTAGTGCATGCTCCTAACACTTCCCTAAGCTCCCACACTTTTTGCTTCAAGCCTTGTGTTCAGGCTTTATGTTGCTTCAGGATTCAGCTGCAGTTTTCGTCGACCCAGCCGTATTTGCAGCAACTACACAAATTGCCCGCCCGCCCGCTCGCACTGGAGTGGCGCGGTGTGGCTTGTGCTATATCCGCGCTGATATCCCTTCACACCAAGGTGTGCTTATGGTGATACTTTGCAAGGGGAGATGTCCTGTAGCATCTCACCTTGCAATTTGTGCTGCTTGCGCCTTGTTAAAATAAGTGTGTTAGCTTTGTGCTGTGCTGCGGAGATGCAGCAGCCCCCCCGGATTTCAAACTTCAAATTTCACATGTGAGGACAGCTTAATTCAGGTTGGCTACGTTGGAGACATGGTAATGTCCAAGCTTAATTGGTTTGCAGGTTTGCAAGATGATATTATGATGACCTTGAATCATGAAAGAACATGTGCTGAATCTCATCATTCAGGGCCTCGCAGTGCTTCACGTGCGTCCTTCCTCTAGCCCAGTTTGCTCCGTAATTAACCCGCTTACGAAGTCCCCCTGGCCCTCCAAATAGAGATTGGGCTTCAAACTTTAGACCCAAATCTTGACTGTTTGAATGTTTCATCCCCAATCCTTGTGCCCATACACCCTGGTTCATATCTACAGAGCCCGTTTCCTGCGAAGAATCGTGCGAGCCCGCAGCCTCACCTTTGAGCTCTAAATTCTAAATGCCGTAAAGATCCCATAGTCCTACAAGCCTTATGTCACAATATTGCCCATAATTTACCCCCTCCATTCCCCACACAGCTGTGGGTGAATGCTTCATTCATTTCCTTCGGCCAAGGCCCTTTGCAAAAAGCACCTGTTAGCCATGCAACTTGGCTTTATGTGCGTTCTTTCTCTAGGCTTTTCTCTGGTTATTTCAACGATATGAAGGAAGGGGGTATCCCTAAACCCTTATTATTCGTATTTACATTCGTATTACAGTCACTTTTATTACTGAGGGTATTTGGGGATTCCAGGACAGAGTTCAACGTTTGCGGCGGACATACCAGCTATTGTCAATATTCGGCTGATTACGGGACCACACAAGACTAAGGGCCCCTCTGGTAGTTAGTGGCGTGCCTAATAGATTCCGTAGTAGCTTACCCGGGCCCATTAGTTATTTGGGAAGTATTGAATGTAGTTCATATCACTTTTGACAGCGAAGTATGCTTGGTGAGTTTCGGGAAGTTCGCTTGAAGGTATGAGCATAACTTAGGGGGGGGTAGTGAGGCATATGGGAATATATTATAGGGTTGGGAACATGGGACTTTTTTTTATACTGGGTTGTATAGGGATTATATTCCCATTTTCCCTACTGACAACCAAGAATATCTTGGTCAGCTTCCAAAAGTCCACTATGTTCCCTGTCAGGAACGCGCAAAAAATGACGACACCCTGAAATTGCCTTCCTTGAGTTCAAGCTTGGAATAAATATAGATATATATATATACACATATCTATATTTAGAGAAAAGGTTTAGAGTTTAGGGTTCAAGGTTTGGGTTCAGGGATATTTTCCCTGAATTCAAGCCCATCAGAGCCTAAATCTGAGAATTGAGACGCACACGCTTTATCAAGCATCCAACAAGTAATAATAAACACTCATGCATGGCTGGCGCCTCGGCTGTTGCGGTCGGCAGGGGGTTAGGAGGGCGCGGGCGTGGAAAATCCAGAAACGGCCCAGCGGCAAGCAAGCCTTGATGGTGTGGCTTGACTGGGCCTTATGGTTGGTCAGCAAGGGTGAGTAGAGGGGGTTTTCCGTGGTTTCCAAATGCAATGAGGTTGGACCAGCCTCGACGAAATAGTTGAAATTTAAGCTTCACTAAGTTGCCAGCACTTGCAGAATATTAAAGGCACATCCCGACCACCGATTAGGTTGTGCCTGAACCCTAAATGCCATTGAAAACATGTCGCCTTTCACACAGGCCAAATCACGAAAAGCACTGGACAGTACGCCAGAAGGAGGGCAAATAAACACACCAACGCCTTTTCAGCAAGTTTGAGAACCGTCAACATCCCCAAAAATGTCCATGTTATGAGAACTAAATCCAAAAGCCAGAACATGCTGGGCATGTTGAATCATCTTAGAGTGGGGGAGAGTGAGATAGATAGCGCGAGAGGAGGAAGAAGAAGGGAAGAGGAAGAGAAGCACTGAAACCCTGAAGCTGAGGGCACTACAACCCAATCGAAAAGTTTAAATCCTGAATCCTAAACCCTAAACTCTGAACCCTAAATTCTAAACCCTAAACCCTCAGCCATAAACCCTAAGCCCTAAACACCAAAACCCTAAAACCCTTAAACCCCTAAACCCCTAAACCCAAAGCCCCAGAGCCCAGGGCCTTCTGCATGACCTGCTGCGCCGCCCCGGACAAGTCTGAGCTTGACCTCGGCTCCAAGCCGTTGGTGGAGGCCTGATTTAAGTGGGGTACCCTTTTAAAGGGGTTTAAAGGGGGATATATATTGGTTATATAGGGATATATAGGATTTTGGGTTTAGGGGTTTAGGGGTTTTAGGTTTATCTAAGTAGGGTTTAGGGGTTTTGGGTGTAGGGACTTAGAGTTTAGGGGTTTTGGGTGTAGGGACTGAGAGTTCAGGGGTTGAGGGGTGTAGGGTTTAGGGGTTTAGGGCTTAGGGGTTTGGGGGGCTTAGGGTTTAGAGGTTTAGGGTTTAGCGGTTTAGGGGTTTGGGGTGTAGGGGTTAGGGTAAATAATGCCAAAGCAAATGGAAGCTGCGCTGTTGTTTTATGTGAGGGCATACATAGAAATCAGGCTACTAATGGAGGTTACTTGAATGGAAAGAGAATAGAAGCTGGCATGTGATTAGGGTTTACGCTTTAAGGTCTGGGGGTAAGTGGGTTAATTAATACCTGGATCCGCTAAGTATGTTGGATAATGAGCTTTTGGGCTGTTGGTTTTAGGTCCTTCTTTTGCCAACCTTTTTTGGGGTCCAGGTAATGGAAAAGATAATGTAAGCCACTGACTATGCTGTTTGGTTTCAGAGTTTAGGGTCAGGGCGATTTTGTAAGTAGATTAATACTCGGGATACCTTGGTTTGTTATATGGTTTATAGGGTTTGTAAGTCTACTTGCTAAGTCCGCTGACCCTTTTCGTAACAGGTCCTCGAAGGCTGGGGCTGGGGTTGATCCCAGGGTATATGCGGTTTAGGGTATGGGCTCAGTGGCTTAAAAAATGGAAGTATGGATTATGCAGTTGAAAAGAAAATGGAAATCACATGGAAACTGGGCTTATGCGTTTTCGAAGGCTTCGGGTGGTGTGCAGTGCCTACTGATTGTTGACATCCCAACCACGTGGGAAGTTTCCCAAAATACTCCCATGTCCCTCTAGAATCCTTTATCAAATCCTATAGAGTCCTATTCCATTCCCCTTTATAGCCTTTCTGACAAGCAATCCTTGAAGTTCGAAGCCATCTACATGCGTGTAGTCATAAGGTGGGTAGGGTTTGGGGTTTAAGGTTGAGGGTTTAGGGTCCGGGTTTAGGAGAGTTTGGGGTGTGCGGTTTACCGGGTTATCTCTGCAGTACTCCCATAAGGATTCCCATCAGACCTTGTACCTCGTATTCCGATGAAGCAAGAGGGAGGAACCGTAAACCTTATAAATCCTAATCCTGAGCCCTAAACCTCAAACTCGTAAAGTTACGCCTTAAACCTTAAATCGAAACCTTTAACTACCACCCCCAATTCATTGTTGCAGGCGAAGGGAGTGCTGGACAAGTCGTAACGTGGCGATGTTCACAAAGGTTTGGGGTCTTGTGTGTTGGGGTTTGGGGGTGTGGGTATAGGCGGTATTGGGTCACGGTTTAGGGCTTAGGTTCGGAAGTTTAGGATATAGAAAGGAAGTATAGAGCGTAAGTTCAGGGGCTTATTTAGGGCATCCGGAGATGCAGGTCCTTAACTCACGGAAAATCGAATGAAGGGAACATTCCTGGCAAAGTCTGTTCAGATTTTAGGTTCATGTGCTAGTTTCCTTAAATATTGGGACCCCAATATAGACCCCAAGATATTATACTTCACTATGGGGACCCCCAAAAAGGTATTCCCAATTTTGGGAAACCCCATCTGTATTGCTACTTTCAATATTCCGTAGTAGTACTAGCACCGTTAACTCCAGAGCTTGACCTTCCAACATTTCAAGCTGTGTTCTATGCTCCACCCCCTAAGCCCTACCTCCTTAACTTTGGTGCCTCAGCTGTGAACCTTGAACCTTACACGATTGGGGTGTAGCGTTGGATCGCTCTGAAGTTCAAACTTGTGTAGAGCTTAGTGTTGGCTCACGGGTCAGGGCTTTGAGGATTGAGGTTTCGGGGTTCTTGGGTTCTGAAATCCATGCATGCATGCATGCTTCGATGAAATCACATGCTCTGCAATCTGCAACCAATGTTTTCGTTGCGTCAGTAGCGCATGTGGTGGTGGTGGTGGTGGTGGTGGTGGTGGTGGTGGTGCTGGTGG